ATCTATCTATCTATCTATCTATCTATCTATCTATCTATCTCTCTCTCCATTTATCTCTTTCTTTCATCTCTCTCTCCCACTTTCTTTTTGTTTTTTCTTTCTTTCTTCCTTTCTCTTTCAATCTCTCTCTCTCTGTGTCTGTCTGTCTGTCTGTCTCTCACTCTCTGTGTGGCTCTTTGTCTCTATCTCCCTCCGTCCCTCCCTCTGTGTCTCTCTCTGTCATTCTCTGTGTGTGTCTGTGTGTGTGTGTCTCTCTCTCTATATGTATCTCCTCCCTCCCTCTGTGTGTGTGTCTATCTGTTTCTCACTCTCTCTGTGTGTGTGTGTGTGTCTGTCTGTCTGTCTCTATCTCTCTCCCTCTCTCTTTCTGTCTGTAAGCCGCTGTCGTGCCTGTCATCATGGATCAGGCTGAGCTGCCTGTCCTTCTTCAACACCTCCCGGGGGTGCACGTCCATCGTAAAATCCATCGGGTCGTCCAAAGTAGCGGGGCTCAGTATGACCTTGGCTGAGTGAGTGCAAACGCTCAAGTCCGCTGCTTGCACTTCTCAACTAGTTGCAAAGTTCTCTCCAGAGATTCTGGTGGGCGGAGGCAACGCTCGCCTATAGAGCTTTGGCGAAGGGGATTTTTTCTGCGGGATGGAGCCTGGGCGGCTGGGAATTTCCCAACCGAAGTAGAAGGCGAGGTTTTCAAACTAGTCTGGTCCTGCTTGAAAAGGCTGCTGTGGCAGAGCAAAGGGTGCCCTGGCTGAGGAATTCCCTCCTTCAGTCAGTCTCTGGAATTTTTTTTCTTTCTTTTTCTACAGAAGGGAAAGTTTTTTTGACTGTACAGCTCGACGTGATTAAGGCCGTTCTGCTCCTCCGTGGAGCCATTGTGTTTCTTGCCCATGGGCACGCGCTGATAGCCTCTTCTCTCTGATAGCCGCCTGATTAAAAAGGAGGCGGTGGCTCTGCTGGTCCGGAGCCCACCTGGGAAGACAGGGAACGCGAGGGGACCCCTCCCCCCACGGATAGGCTCCGGACCAGCGGAGCCTCCTTCTCCTTTTTAACCAGGCGGTAATCTTCTTTTTAATCAGGTGATCTTTTTAACCAGGTGATCTTCGGCTGGTGCACAAGCCCACTGGCACGCACTGCCCTCTTCTCTCTGATAGCCACCTGGTTAAAAAGGAGGAGGAGGTTCTGATGGTCCGGAGTCCATCCGGGAAGATGAGGAACACAAGGGGATCCCTCCCCCTATGGATGGGCTCCAGACCAGTGGAGCCTCCTCCTCCTTTTTAACTAGGCGACCTTCGGTTGCTGCACAAGCCCATGGGCATGCACTGCCCTCTTCTTTCTGATAGCCGCCTGGTTAAAAAGGAGGAGGGGGCTCGACTTGTCCGCGGAGCCCATCCGGGAAGATGAGGAATGCGAGGGGGATCCCTCCCCCCCACAGATGGGTTCCGGACTTGGTTTAGCCTTCCTGGACGTCGCAGCAGCTCCAAGCATGCCGATCTTGGCGGTTTTTGCATCGGGGCGTGCTGCAAGAGGGAGTGAGTGAAGACCTTTTCCAGCCGGCGCAAAGGACTTCCCCGGACTTGCTTTGATGAGCTCGGGGTGATGGGCCCGCACCTCCACCACCAGCAATCCAGAAAAGGTCTTCACTCCCTCCCTCTTGCAGCATGCCGCAATGCGAAAAATGCCGAGATCGGCACGCTTGGGGCTGCTGCTGCGGTGTCCAGGGAGGCTAAACCAAGCCATCCGCCACTCCCAGCTGCTTTCGCGGCTTCCCGGAGCGCCAAGAACCTTCACGCTCTTCTCCACACTCTCCTCGGCTCCTCGCAACTGCAATAGACCCAGAAGCGGCGGGGGCTTTCAGGTTGGAAACCCAAGCCCCATTAGCCCCAAAAGCCGCTACGCCAGCAAAGAGCTTACTTACCTCCTCGGCAGGCAGCAATAGAGAGCCAAGGGCTCTCTATAGAGCTCTTAGAGGCATAGTGCAGATGGGCAGGGGGAGCGAGCAGATGAGTGGCGACTGGATGGGCAGGGCCCGGGGGTGAGCAAGCGAGAGGGCATTCCACCAGTGGAACCGGTTCTAAACAGCACGCTAGACTTGTGGAACCTCTTCTAGCGAACCGGTTAGAACCAGCAGGAACCCACTCCTGCTTCCTGACCGCATTACATCTAGATGATCAAAATGGATAGGCCCATATTAAAACCATGTTCGTTAGATCACTAAACTTTAGATAAACCCATTAAGCAAAGAATCTGTTCTTGTCTCATTCATTTTTGGGGTATAACAGCGGAATGTAATTAATTCATAACACATAATTCAGGGACTAAATATAGAAGATTCACAAAACATCAATGTTTTGATACTGCACATCAAGTTGTTCCCCTTCATTCTACTTTACTTTAAATTTCCTGCTTTGTACTTTAGTTTTATAATGTTTTAACATAACAATCTATTTTTTATTCCAAGTTGTGAGAAAAATATGACTATATTCAATTAGTGAAAGGAGAATGACTTGGCTCAAAAAATGCATCTCAAATACATTTTGAAAAAGGTTGAGCTAAATAACCTTACTGTATTGGAGGCATCAAACTTTGGAGAAAAAAAGCATGTGCTTAAGTATTCCTAAAAGGAAGATGTAAAAGTTTGCTTTTAGCATTAATATAAACTGTGACAGGGAAAAAATGTACTGCAAATATTAAGCCTGATCAATATGGCAATGATACTTTAAATTTAAATTATGTGTAGAAGGCCTGGACCCCTAAAGGCTTCAAAAAGTACATTGATCCATTGTTAATTCTGCTTTTCATATTTACAATCTAATACATAAAGAAGAAAATCTATTAAGCCCTTTTCAGTTAAGATTCTTCTTTATGTTATTTTTATCTCACCAGAAATGTTGATCAGTCCTTTGAATTTAATTACTTAAATGCAAAAACAAGATTGCTTTCCAAAGGTTTTTTGGTATTTTTTAAAGGATTTCACTTAGAACTTCTATGCATAGGATATTGGGCAAGTTGTATAAGTTCAGTTGAGTTGTTGTTTTATGCTATAATTTTATCTCACTTATTTTGCAATTACAAGTTTTTATTAAAATGTTTTGTGCTCATGCTTTGAAATGTCATTTATCTATTAATTTTGAAGATATCAACAGTGCTTTCAAGAGTAGGAAACAAGTTTCAGTATTAAATAAAAACACTAAATCTAGTGTGAAGTAATGTAGAGCTAATTTTGAGAATGCAGAATA